CAGCGTCAGGCTGACTGCAGAGGGAGAGAGACAGGGCTGGGGTCTGGCCCCTCCAGAGATTTGGGGTGGGGTTGTGCCACCTTTGGGGTGGGGTTGTGCCACCTTTGGAGTGGATTTGTGCCACTTTTCCCCATCTGGGAGGCTCCAGGGGTGGTTTGATGACCACACGTTAGTGGGTTAGGCTTAGGCTTTGATTTAGGCTGAGGGTTAGGGCAGAAAAGCCAACATAGGGAGAAAATGATGGAGAAAATGATGGAGAAATGATGGAGAAAAGATGGAGAAATTATGGAGAAAATAATGGAGAAATTATACCGAAATTATGGGAGAAAATGATTGAGAAATGATGGAGAAAATTATCAAGAAATTATGGAGTAAATGATGGAGAAATTATACCAAAATTATGGTGAAATGGAGAAATTATGGGAGAAATTATGGAGAAATTATGGAGAAATTATGGAGAGAATTATGGAGAAAATTATGGAAAAATTATGGGAAAATTATGGAGAAATTATGGAAAAATGAGGCTCTGGAGTGTGGGGGTTTTGCTGTCATTTGGGGCTGTCCCATGGCTCCCCTTTCTGAAGTTTCCACGTGGGAATATCTGGAATTTCCGCCTTTGAGGGGTGATTTCCAAAGGTGGTACTGACACAGCGCCCACCCCCCTTTCCCTGCTCCCTCCCTACCTTGGAATTTCTTCAGCATCTCCTTGAGAGTGACATTTTCCTGGGGCAGCCCTGTGGGTTCCTCTGCCAGCTCTGCTGAGGTCTCCACCTGCTCTGGGGCGCTCTGCTCCTCCAGCCTGGAAACCAGAAAAATAATTTTTCCACAAAAATTTGGAATGGTGGGACTGGAGAGGCAGCTGGGAAGGCTTGAAAGGCCCGTTCTGACCCAAACCATCTTAAATTTCCACAATTTTATAACTTCCTTCCTGTCAGGTTTTGGCATCTCCAGTAAGTTTTCGGGATCTGCTCCTCCATGGAGAATGTTTTCTGACCCAGCCATGGCTGATGAACCTCTGGATGGTGAAGATTTTTTACCAGTGGAAATTAGAGAATAAAAACAATTTTCTTTGTCCGCTTTCCTCCTTCCTACCCCCAGTCTGGAGGGGACACAATCAGATCTGTTAAGGGTGTAAAATTCTAATTCCCAAAATTCTAATTCCCTCAGAATTTAACCCTTTTAGATCCGGCTCCCTGTTTTTGAGGAGGAAAATCCCATCCGTCCAGGATCAGCCAGGTTTTCACAGATCAGAGAGCAGCCACAGCAGAACTGGAGGTTCCTTCATCCCCTGAAGGTACCTGACCCCGATCTCCACCATCCTAACTGGACTTTTGTGGTGTCCCAGCTCTGTCCTGTGTCCATCTCAGGGGGTTTTGGGGTTCCTTCACCCCTCTGAAGGTACCTGACCCCGGTCTCCACCATCCTAACTGGACTTTGGTGGTGTCCCAGCCGTGTCCTGTGTCCATCTCACACAGGTCAGGGGGTGTTGGGGGTTTTGGGGTCCACCAAAGCCAAACAAGAACACGTCAGGAACGCAGGTGAGGAGCCACAAACCTGCTCAGGATGTCTCTGCTGTCCTGCAGAGGAGAGACAGACACACAGACAGACAAACAGACAGATGGACGGACAGGTCAGGGCGGAGCCAGCCTGGGGTGAGCAGCCAGGGAGGGCTCCGGGGTGACCCTGGGGGATTCTGGATCTGCGGGAATGCAGGTGAGGCAGCTCTGATAAGCACTTGGGTTATCGGCATCATCGCCCCGCCCAGGGTGGGCGTGGCGGCTGCTAATTAGCATCTCTGCTCATTTGAATGTTTGGCTGTATGAATATATGAGTGTTTGGATATTTGAATGTTTGGCTGTTTAAATGTTCGGGTGTTTGAATGATTGGGTGTTTACATATTTGGATATTTGAAAGCTTGTTTGTTTGAATGTTTGGCTGTTTGAAAATTTGGATATTTGAATATATGGGTGTTTGGATGTTTGGCTGTTTAAATGTTTGGATATTTGAAAATTTGGATGTTTGAATGTTTGGCTGTTTGGGTGTCTAAATGTTTGGATATTTGGACATTTGAATGTTTGGATTTTTGAAAGTTTGGCTGCTCAAATGTTTGGCTGTTTAGCCAAAGGATTTTTTATATCTCCAGGCTGGAGAAGCACAGCCCAGTGGAAGGTGCGTTTGTTGTGGCTCTGTGAGGCCCCTTCCTGCCCAAACCTGGGATTCTCTGGGTTTTCCAAGGCTCGGGATTTGGTGTTTCGGTGGCTCCTCACCTGCAGCAGCTCCCAGGGCGGCTGCCGGCACTTTTCCTCCAGCTCCTG